TATTAAAAAAAGATTTAAAGTAAGTAGTATCGATAGAGTACATTTGATAAACTCCATGATACAAATCCACTCACTAAGGGATACCACCTAAGGTCTTTCATGAGCACACTGCTCATATGGGTGCTGTATCCTTAGTGTGTATAGGTTCAGTGGGAGTCTTGTACCATAGTTGTATTTATTTTATAAAACATGTCATAAACTTTGTACTTTGGTTTTGGTTTATTTGTTATATGGTTTCATTTCAATTATTATGTTTTGGTTTCTATGTTACATATTATCTCTGAGTTTTTTTGTAGGTAATCTCACCAAAGTTAAGATAGGACCAGTTAGAAATAAGCATGCTTAAATAACATAGCATGTAATTTCTATACCGCACATCAAGGCTTGATCTATGTCGTTTGGTTATACTAATATACGTGACCATTGATGGGTTTAGCTACGATAGCTGTAGCGAGGACCGCTTTGATCTTATGTCATTATGATTTATGGATGTGATTGTTTGGTGATACATTCAAGTATTGATAACACAGTTTTGAGTACTCCTATGGTTATTAACACATAGTTACGGTGTCATATAAAGCCTAAGTGAAAAATTATAAGGTTTTTTCATCAAATAGGCTTAATGTGGGTTTACTATGCGTAACAAGCTATCGATTTATGAGACCATTTAAAAGTGATCAAATACGGTTAAACAGAATTGGACCTTAATCTATCGAGCTTAGGTATGGGCTTAATATATGCAAATATTATTTTTGTAATTTCTCATTTTATGATGGACAAAATGAGAAATACAAAAGTATATCGGTATAAATAGGCGGTTATAGTTCCCGAATCACACGCGGACCACTTTATTTTTCTGAAATTTCGTCACTAGATAAAAATAACTTTTGAGGTCGTGTGTTGATTCGAAAGTATATACTGTAAGGCGCAATCGAATCTTTTGCAACGGATCTAGTTATGCTTTCGTTTATCCTTTCTCATTGATTTGATACGAGATTGCATGTTTAGATTTATTATATCTGATTTGATTTGAATGATTCCAAAAAAGTTTTTTAACAAACTATAGAAGATAACATTTAAAACCCCTTAAAGACATTTATAAAGAGGAAGTTATCTTATAAAAAAGATAACTTGGTGTGGCATAACCTTCAACAAACATGGACTAAAACACCTTTAATTAAACTTCTCACGAGATATATGTATAAAAATGCATTATGATAAGTATGAACTCTTCTTTTCCCTCATATTAATTATGGAGGATAACTTTTAGAGTAAATACTTTAGTTTCTTAGTAATAAACTTAACATCTACATGACTAAAATATATCAATTTAAAGGCAAAAAAAAAAAAACATAGAAAAAGTAAAAAGGTATGAACAAAGATATGCAATGCATGTTTCATTTTATATAACTACATGTGTTTGTACTAGTTACAAATAAACATGTGCAAATGAAAATGTATAAATTTATATCTCTATGTGTATATATATACATATATAATATATATGGAAATACTTAATGAACATACATGTACATATACTTTATACACATGCAAATGGATGAAAATAGATACATATAAGCCACTACATGCATTTATAAATAGATAAAATTAAAAAAAAATTAAAACAAAACTATTAGAAAAAGAACATTTATATTGTTAGAAAAAAGGAATAAAATATGCATGAAGAACAACACCACATAAAAGAAACTGAAAGGAAGGTTGGTCCTTTATATTAATCAATACTAAACCTTTAGATTTAGTGTTAGCTATTAATTTATAGACCCAATAGTTGAGTAATTAAACTCATCAATATGAAAATAGATGTAACAATAAAGTTTTTGTAAAAAAAAAACACACAGACATCTTCTTCAGCTGAAACACAAACTGAGGCTAGTATACCCCATATT